ATCAAAAGAAGATACGAATATAGCACAAGAGGCCTATTTTTTTTTCTCAAACAAGTCATTCAATCAATCGATCCATTAATCAATATTGATAAGCTAGTTAGCAGATCAGGTAATTACAAAAAAATTAAGAAGACTTGAGGACTTGCAGGCATGACGAACCAAATGCGACAAACAACTTCCTTGGGTCCTTTTGTAATTTGTCCAAGTTTACTGCTAAATATGATGTCTATACTTTAAAACAAGGCGTGCTGAAATGTCAATGAAAGCAATACGTGTTGAAATGTCAATGATTTTACCAGGTCGTATCTGTTTACAGAACCTAATCAGTTCTCGTATTTGTCAGGTTTGAGAACGTACCCTATCACCCAGTACTTTAGGACAGAAGAAACTTTCTTCTGATCTGTGGAACTCTCTGGAGTCCTGTGAAAGAGTGCACCATGTTCAACCACTCCCTGCATTCCAGAAGACATGAATCGAGTACGGCTGCCATCCTGTTTTAAGCGCTGTAAATAAAACAAATAAACATATCTTAATTCCGTTATCTCTAGACGAATAAACTGATGAGAATTTTTTAGGATCTTTGACCCATTTATAAGAATATAAGGTATTAAAAGAAAAAGCTCTAAGCCTATCACTTCTGTGACACTATCAATTATGGGGTTAATTATGAAATTGCTATAATTCTGAGTGTGAAACACTGAGACAAATTTAAGTACCTTGGCACTGGGAACAGGTGTTCATGCAACATTATATCGGGGTCCTGTTCCTTACATTTGATTATCACTAGGGAAGGGAACACGTTGAGGTTTATTACACTGTTAGAACTTTAATCAGGAAGGTGATGTTCAACTCACCTGTTTGTAGTAAGGCGAAAACAACCTACGAATGGACAGACATGTTTTGTGAAATGAGTTCACCACCTCAGCGTGTACTGCTCCACTGGGGGAGGGCGTGTCTCCATCGCTTGGACACACCACAATACCCTGGAAGGAATCCCAGCTGACGTAATGAAACAGCGTGTTCTCTGTGCCACCGGTTAATCTGATAGAAAAAGATTGACAAATCGGATAGAACAAATGGCAAATCTGATATACTAAGATCAGTTGAGAAATCGGACTCCCGCTTCGCAATTGTCCGATTTTGTAATCACTTGTATGTGATTAAAGACTGATTGGACTCCACTCGATCCCATTACCATT